CGCATGAACCGCATTATCGGCGGAGAATCAAGGAAGCGATATTCTGCTTTGATCGCGATCATGTACGTACTGCCACTCACGCTATGTTCTCGTTCTAATTCTACTTGTTCATCAATGAATTCTAGACTCGAATCAGGAGCTCTCTATCCTCTCTTTCTGATTGCGAACATTATCCTCTCTTTTGGTCAATTTCCCGCGAAAGATCGCCTAAATGTTGCCCATGCAGAAGGAATTGTATCGGACCTTTTAGGTATCATTGCAGTGAGATCTCTACCTAGACATCGACTTGACTCCTGCTGAACACACGTCTCCATTATAGGCCATTGCCCCCACACTGATAATTGTTCGTGCAGGGCTAGGAGTTAGCATCGAACAAGTAAATACTTCCTCTTCCTCTTCGCAGCCATACGTACCAGTCTCTACCTTTCGTGCCGCCAATAGCGAAAACAGAGCACCGCCGACTACCCTCAGTCTGCATGCGAGGTCATCCAGCTATCCTTCAGTTTGGTCAAGAGACTCCTGGAGAGGTGCAGAAGGATCGCAAGGCGGTCAAGTTGACTACCTGGGTGTTCCAATTGGAAACGAGAAGTTCGACGACAGCGTCTTTAGTTACCATTATAGAAGGAGCATCGGCGTAGCCCGATAGAGATTGTATTTATAAGTTTGATGTATTAACTGACCCCTATCATGACACACGCACAACGGGATTGTCCCAGCAAGTTCAAAGAAATTCTGTGAACGTCAAATGTATACGTGAAAATGGCGAGTTAGAGCTACATACATGATGCATCATTCAAGCCACAGTGTTCATTGAGTACCGCGTAGAGTTGGGTAGCGTTCGCAAACATGGAAGTGAAGAGAACTAAGGGATCTCCATTTAGCATGATCGGACGCCAGCTTTGCATGTCGAGGAAAACCTTACATGTGTAGCTAAAATAACGAGCGTCGGTCTCAGTCTGTACAAGTAAAGAAGAGCGCGTATCAGTAAACATTGATCGTGATTCATCAGACTCGGAGGGTATGGTTCTAACGAGTATGATTTAAGCCAGAATACGATCTAGCAAGGTCAGATGTCGTGCCATGACGAAGATCCCAATGATAGCACAGGTTGCTTTACTCGGCTTAAATGAAATATTCGGAATGGCATTCGGGTTACTAAAAACAAAGATAGTTTAGTTTCGTCTTGTGAGCAACTTGTGAGTTGCAACCTTGTGAAGAACCGTGATATAACCGGCAATTGTGCTTGCGTGAAGATGAAAACATATAACGAGAGAGACATACCGCAGCGTTTGGAAAATACTGACATGCCCTGGATCTGCTCTGAGCAATGAGTGGTGCAAGAACAAGGTTGAGAAGGCCATAAACTTCTGGTCCGCGGGACGGTTTATGTCACGTGGATATCGGGGACCTGGTCTCTCGGAGGAGTCCCTAGCGCTTCGTGATGCCTCTTTACCACTTCTTCTTGACTTCTTCGCTAGTACTTCGAGCTCCTTTGGTTTGTACCCTCAAAGATCCCTGAGATTTGGTCAGGAGATGCTGTAGAGCCAACATAATGGTAATGGGAACTCCACACATGGTCTATGGTGTGTAACATGTTTTACTCGCTCGCGGCGATGACTCATTGCGAAGTGCAGCAAGCAGCATCGATCTACTAGGATGGTGCACAAGCCATCGATAACATCTTGTATTCTCATTCGTTTGAAGATGTCATATGGAACACTGAAACGGTTCACGATTTTATGAGCGTGAGGCTGGAAGTGGGACGACTTTTCTTCGAGAAGATCTGTGCAGGTGCTTTTATATATCCTCCGGAGTTCTTCATTTTCTTACCTCTCACTCTCTATCCATAGACTTTTCCATCTCCTCAGCAAGATCCATCCGAAGTGCCTACGAAACCGAAGATATTCATATGTATGCGCCCCACCACGTCATTGCGAGCCACCCAGCATCGTATGATTAGAGTATATATCAATCACGGACACGGAGTTTCCTTTTCTTTCGAACAATGAAAGAGCTGGTCAACAGCAGTCACCTGTAGGACTAGTCCGGGATTGGCAGTGCTGACGCTTGGTGCGTCGGCGGTACCGACCCCCGACGGCCTCGTGAGTCAATGATGAATGCAGTATATAAAGGTCAGGGATCCGCCCATGTTGCTTTACCTCCCGCTCACCATTACACCGTCTGTCTTTCAGCAGTGTCTACTACCAATTAAAGTTGTTCTCGGGCACGTTCCGCTTTGCATGATCATACTGCGTTATGATATTCGGCAAGTACCGCTGCAAAGATCTCTGCCGAAGAAGACAGAAAGACGCTGGGGAACTCGTTCAACCTTGTGCCTTTGGACAATGCGTTTGATCCCCGTTGATCTTCTCGACCTTCAAATACGAGGCTTCCATTCTCCCGAGGCGTCCGAAAATCTCTTGAACACGCGGCGGAGACTGGATGCTGTGGGAACGGGCGTCTGTTGAAATTCTCAGCCATACACCAAGCTATTTTTGCCATTGCCTTATCAGCCCTCCCGAGGGCATCTTTCCCCTCGACACCGCTTGTTCCTCCGTATCACTATCAGCTGATGATTGTCGGGAACAAAGAAGATTGCGGCATGTGTTGTTCTATGGGCGCCAGGCGCTAAAAAAATGCGGGTACCTGCCTTATTCGGGTGTCTTGGAGCTCCCGCCGCGTCGGCGGTGGGGCGGGATTTCTATTTTGGAAACAAGAAGCGTCGGGATAGTGTCAACTGATCGCGTTCACATGGTCGCCAACGCGCTCGGGGTCCCTCGGGTTTCATGTTTAGCGCCCAGATATGCACCCCAAATCCGTTTTCATTCCTCGCAAAAACGCCAACCTTCGACGTTCGGGACGCCATATATCGCATTCTGATGGGTTGCAAACGTCCAAGGCTGACGGGAGAAAGCTGTAGATAAAGGTGTTGAAGATGTTTCGTGAGGTAGCGACGCCCATCTGCCTCATGTCAAGGATGCGGTGCGGTGTCTGATGGTGGGCGTCTGTCGGAGTTTGGAACGCGATTTATAAGGAGCGCGGCGCGGGAGCGAGTCATTCCCATTCTTACCCGCCCACATCATCAACCTCGACACCAAGCTGCCTACTCCTTGTTGTGAGTCCTTTGTTACGCTTTCGCTCTGTCTTTGTTTTGTGTTGTGTGCCTACCGTTACTACGTGTAGTGTTTTCTGTCAAAATGACAACTGTTCTTTCACCACCAACACAAAGCGAGACCCCGGCGATGTCCCAAGCAAGCACAGTCCGCACTTGGGATTCGACAACGTCGACTGCGGGGGATAACCTTACATATCAGAACGCAACAGCGACGCTAACATCAGACCACAACATTAGGCCCACCTTGTCTCATTTGTCCCCGCACCAACCGTTAACCATACTACCCTCAACTGCTCAGACCCAAGGGAGCCCTTTCATCGGTAATGGACAATATGAATCACGGCATGCAGCGTCAATAGGAAATTCGCTATCACTCCAGCAGATGGCTAGTCATTTCTCTATCCCTTCACGATTACCAGCTCCGCCTGGTACAGGTTCTACTTCCCGGCCTTCGCAACCCGTTATTCGGATGACACCACCCCAACCACCGCAGCCCGCAGTGACTGCCAACGACGGCCCCGACTTTTCATCCTTTTTGAGCAACTACCTCAAAATGCTTGCAAAACCTGCTTCGGAGCCTACGCACGAGTCACCCAATGTCGGAACCGCGGAATTGGAAGGCACGGGCGCTACTGATGAGGCGTCAATCAATTGGGCGGAGTTTCTGTGTACGATTTCCTTTAAATACCCCCATCTTTCCCATCTAACCTTCCTTTCTTTAGCACCTGCGTACTCTGACAGTAACGCAGAATTTGGAGGCGATGTTTCATTAGACACGTATTTGACCTCTCCGCTCATTGACGAATACGACGAGTTTACATCCCCGTTGATGGACACACCACTCCTCGATTTCACGTCTCCTAACATGGATACATCGCCGATGCTGTCTGACCTCAACACCCCTGTCATTCAAGACCAGGATGCGTCCTGGGACCAGCCACTCATTGTGGACGCTAGCGTGGATATGTACAAGCAACAGACGCTACAAGTCCCAACTCCCAGCTCCACAAAGGCCACAGCATCACAGCTTGACTACGATGGTTTGCTAAAGATGTCGCCCGGTAACACCCCAGCGATTCAGTCTTTCGGCGACCAGTTCCCTAGCCCGGCGATGACAATGGATCACTCATTCTCACCATCAGTCGCAACGACGTCTCTTCCGCGTCCTCATCGCGATGTGCCTACTGGAACACGGCGCAACATCACTCCGCAGTCACTTATTCCCGAAGACGCTCCTACGCAGTCTCGTCGCTACGTAACCCCTTCCGCTACATCACGCAAGGAGGTCCCTTCGACATTTTCCCGTAAGCGTTCACGCCCAGCTGACGACGAAGGTGACGAGCTGGATGAACCGCTTCCGCCCAATGCGACTGAGCGCGAGATGATCGAATACAAGAGGCGGCAGAATACGTTGGCAGCGAGAAAGAGCAGAAGAAGAAAGTTGGAGCATATGCAAAATTTGGAGGACTCGGTGACAAGGTTGACGAGAGAGGTCGAACAGTGGAAGACGAGGACAGAGTTTTTAGAGGGGCTGTGTATCAACCACGGATTGTTGGGTGCTGGAGGCGTAGGGTTAAACGGGGCGGTGTATCCTCAAGGGGTATAGATGTAAAGTGATCCTTTCTTGACGCTGATTTCTTTTACCTTTTTCGATCTATGCATGCTTTTATTATACCCTCTCCACTCGAACATCACATCCCACGTCCAAGATTGTCCAAGATATACTATATGATCTAAGATACTATACTACATACATACTTATGCTTGTCCAACTGCTGTCGAACGATTCTGTATTGCAATCTGCATTGCCTTGTACCAACAAATAAATTTTCTGATCAGACGGTACTGATGCGTGACAAGTGATGGTATCCTCGACAGCTTCGTTGGGCGCTTAACTCAGTGGTAGAGTGCTCGCTTCGCAAGGTGGATGTCAGCGAATATTACTGAATGATGCGAGAAGTCGTGGGTTCAAATCCCACAGTGTCCAATGCCGCTTTTTTTGGAAGAGCAGGGTGGTCAACGGTCATTACTTCAATACTTAAGTCACGCACTACTATATATAGGCGCTGACAAGTATTGTACTAATCCATTAAAACTGCATATAAGTATTACATCCGAGTCCCCGACGACCATGCCATCTGATGATCTTCCTACTGAAACATCCCTCCCGGGATAGATTACAGCTGTATGAGTCCGTGGATTTGAGTGGAATTGTACCACAAAAGGATGATACTCACATTCAAATGTTCCAGGCAAAAGTTGGGACCAGCTTGCGGTAACCATGTTCGACATGTCGGACAAAATCTTGGTTGGGATGTAGTAGTCCTGCGTCCTAATTCCCGTACAACAAGATTTGCATCAGCACGGCGAACTTCGAAGATCTCGTTCCAGGCGTTTTGATCGGTTCCCGGGCTCGGGATCATGACGACCCGACTCGAGACAATGAGCTTCTGGCGCAGAGTGACGGCTAGAATCATGGTCTCGAGAATGAACAAGGGGTCAATCGATACCACGGACTGATCGGCGTATACACGACGGTCAAGTTCGATAGACCCCAGGACGATGTTACCTGTAACGAACACGGTTGATTTCACGACTTGAACAAACATCGCAAAAGCTCACCAGTGTGAATAGCCCATACCAGCGGTTCCCAGTGTTCAGCGCGCCCCGGAAGTAAGGATATCGTCACGGGATAATTGTGATTGACTTGGTGCATTCGGGTGTCGTCAACCACCTGCACCCAGTGAAATACTTCGGATAGATTGCTGAACGGAAAGTCGCCAGGGAGAGGTGGGTTGGGATGCGGTGGTGGGAGTGTAGCCACCAGATGGCGGTATGTTTTCAAGGCATCGACGAAGCCTTGGAGCCAGTCCTTGATGAGAGCGACGAGAGAGGCAAGAACAGAAGGTGCGATACTTTGTGACGGGTTGGACATGGTGGTCTTTTTTTGAGGCTTCAGGATTTTAAAGGACTAGTATTACACTGGACGCTACTCGCCTCAAGATATGTATCAACTTTTGCATCAAACCGGTCCTACAACAGCCACCGAACGCCCCTATATTTGAAATTCGTCCAAAAGATGGCGCATTCAACAATTTAACGAACCATTTTGGGTGACAGTGGGACATGGAGAAAGTTGACCGGAATCACAGGTGGAACCAGAGGCCCATAAATCCAGCTATTAGGTCAACGATTTGGATCAAAGCTACCCGAACGGGGTCAAAGCGGGAATTCTTCCGGGGAAGCGTCTTTAAAGATGACCCATGCCCGAGGACTTGATAGACGAGACTCGCGACGAATCCTGGCTGATCTTTTGATATATCCGCCCAATCACGACTAGTAGACTCAAGAATGCGCATGAATGGAGCAGAGAAAACGTGCAGACCATGAGGACCGCACTTCCAAGACTGTTGCAATGTTTAGGAGAACTTTCCTAGAACAGTTGGAAACATGAGAATCAAAACTATCAATGATTATGACTCGCCTTTACTGTTACTGGCGCTGATGGCCGAGTATACAAACTACTAGGGGTCGGCGTAAGCCATTCTTATCGCCTATCACGATCCTATAGCTCCATGATGGGTTTCTAGAGGTTTTAGAGTCTTCTTAAGATCTAGATGTCGACGGCATTAGGTCAGAGAGATTGTTCTCGAAGGCCCGATGTCCTACTTCGTCGCGAAGCTGCAGCGCAAGACCGCAACCAAGTCTTTCAACGCCCGCGTTGTCTAATGGTTATGACGTCAGACTTCTAACTTGAGTGTAGGCATCTGGAGGTTGCGGGTTCGAGTCCCGCCGTGGGTTTCGTGCGTCCTTCGCAGCCATACATTTTTGGCGTTGGGAATTAAAGTGACCCTAGCTAGTAAGGCTAGGCACTTTCAATTAGATTTCGTGTTAATGCAGTCCGACGACGCTTACCGTACACATGGAACATCTCACTGCAAGAAAATGGTGAATAGGAAGTTGGAACATCGTTGTTCGGGAAAGTTGTTGGACGAGTCACGAGGCTGTGCATTCAAGCATCACGTGCTGTATTACAGTACTCCGGTTCCGATACCTGCTTCTTGGCGACCGTCATCTTTACCTTTCAAACTCGTTCCGATTCGCGGCCTTTCGAGGAGCCGGCTAATAAGGATTGCCCAGGATCTCAGACAAGCTCGAAAATACACCTTCGATCCAACATCCTCAGGCTCCAGTTGAGAATTCTCAAAACCTTGCAACTATGTAGAGCGAGTTCGAAAGGCTGACAGACACCGTGATTGGGTCTTATTCCGTTGGCGGCATTGAATGCCTAGCTCTCAGCAGGATTGCCCCATGACCAGCTGCTCTGCCCTGCTTAACGGCTTATGATCCGGGAAAACCTCGGGTAAACTCCCCTTACAAAAACGCACTCAAGCAACGAAATGCCTTCCTCCCCTTTCCTCAACCCTATATATTGTGAACCTATGGCTCAAAGCTTTAATAACCTCTTAGACCCGGACAGAAAGTGGTACAACAACAGACGGTGCGTCTGCCCATTTATCTCTAGATATATACACTATCTAAAGCACCCTTTAGCTTGCTCGTCCTCAACACGTGGCTGGCTCTACTGTAAGTGTGCTGTAGCTTTAAGAGATCTACCGGGACTGATATAAAATAGATGGATCACAGCTTCCACGGAAGGATATGAAGGTAGCATGATAAATGGTCTACAATCACTCTCACAATGGCAGCATAATTTTGGCTACCCTTCGCCTTCAATGTTGGGATTTTTAACTGCTATGCGGGTAAATATGTTTGAATGTAATATCCACTTTCCCGTTCGCTCCAATGGTCACCGACGGCTTGGGACGTCGTCGAGGTATCTTCCTGGGTTCTGTAGTAATGCTTGTCGGGGCTATTCTTCAGGGTGCGGCGAACGGCGCTGGGATGTTTCTCGTCGCAAGGTATACAAAACACACCCTTTCGTGAGCCTTCTGCTAACGATAACAATGTAGGTTTCTACTGGGCTTTGGTGGTGCCTTCGCCGGTGTGTCTTCCTCCTCTATACAAAGGATAGAAATGCCAATGATTCTGCAGCTAACTCTGCACCACTCCTCGTGTCAGAAATTGCATACCCTTCTCAACGAGCGGCGCTCACGTCTATGTATAACTCGCTTTGGTATCTTGGAGCCATCATGTTAGTATAATCTCTCGCCCACTTTTTTGTCAATCTTACTGTACTTCCTTAGCGCAGCATGGACAACATTCGCCACCTTTCAAATCCCCAATACATGGTCATGGCGGATTCCGTCTTTTCTGTAAGGGTTGCCTTCCGTATTCCAAGCCTCTTTGATTCTTTTTGCCCCTGAAAGCCCTCGATGGCTGGTCAGCCAGAAAAGAGACAAGGAAGCTCTGGAAACTTTGGCGTACTATCATGCAGATGGTAACGAGTGAGTGTTTTTTTTTTTCCACTGTGAGCCTCACGCAAATCTCCTTCTGCGATGACAGAGATGATCCATTAGTAAGATATGAGTTTGAGGAGATCAAAGCGGCGATGAAATTGGAAAGAACGGGTAAGTCACTCCCTTGAAATTACCTATCGTCTCCTAACTACATCTAGTAGCTAAACGCGTTGGGTACCTCCGTTTCTTCACGAAGCCCAGCAATCGCAAGCGAATCTATCTCATCATTGCCATTGGGATTTTCTCCGAGTGGTCTGGCAACGGCTTGCCCTCTTATTTCTTGAATCGGATCCTGAACCGCATTGGTATTACGAAGGACTTCGATCAGGTAGGCCCTCTCTCTCGTCAAACCATTCCTGTTGCTCAGCGCTTCCAACAGCTCCTGATAAATGGTTTTCTGTCCATCTGGAACCTGTTTTGGTCGATCCTTGCGTCACTGTGTGTGGAAAAAGCGGGTCGAAGATTCCTTTTCCTCTCTTCTTCCTGTGGTATGCTTCTCTTCTGGACGGCGCAGACAATTTGCTTCGCCAGAGGAACAAAAACGTCCGGATATGCCTTGCTTGTATTCATGTTTTTGTTCTTTGCCGCATTTGAGTGAGGAGTCCAAGTCGTATTCTTCTGTACCAAACTCTGACATGCTTCCTACAGTCTAGCCTTCACACCTCTAGTAATATCATATCCTGTGGAGATCCTTCCCTTTGAGATTCGAGCAAAGGGAATGAATATTCATAGTCTCGTCGTGGCGATGGCGATGATGTTGAATCAAGCTATAAATCCAGTTGCGCTGGGTATGTCGTTGGTGTCGTCCGTCTTCATATCACTGCTTATTACCTATCAATTAGAGCTACTCAAGTGGAGGTATTATGTGCGTATATCCCTCACCTTAACCCGCTAAGCGTGCTGATCCTTTGACAGATTTTCTACTGTTTCGTACTTGCGTTCGAGGTTGTGTATCTCTATCGAAGTACGTCAAATTTACTCCAGCTTCAGCTTGGATAATCCAATAACTTCTGGCACACAGACGTTGTTGAAACTAAGGGTCTCACGTTAGAGGAGACCGCTGCATTATTTGAGGAAGGTCAAGTTGGAATATTTGCTGAGAATATACCTCAAGAATCGGACAGTCTATTGGGTGGAAGCTCCAGAGCGTAAAATTCATGGTTTCGAGATTCTTCCTGACGAAAGCTTATCTTACACCGCCAACCTACATAAATATCAGAGGATTCAAGTAAAACGATGCTGTATTTACCTTATCAAATGATAACCAAATCAGGTCATTTCTGATGCCAGCTGGCCATTTCCCGCGTGAAACCTCAATCCGCCCACGGTGCCTGTGTCCATTTTCATCTCACCACCGCAACGGCGGCCCAATCTCCAATGCGACATCTTTTTGATATTGACAATGCCATTGGACAATGAGCCTGATTTTCACTTGCCGTGGTGCGAAAGTTTCAGCCTGTAAGTCTCAAAGTCAACAATCTCTTCAACGATAACTTGGGGTGACCGTTCAGCATGGAGCCTGAGGATGATGGTGCGCAAACAGTCTCGCAGAGAATTCCTTTTGATTTTTACAATATTTGGGCACAGATATGATCATTGACCCCAACCGTTCCACCCATGTCTCGTGTCGTTCATGCAATTTTCAGCGGACAGGCAATGAGGTTGTTTGGCAGACACACGGAAACTGGAAGAGACATCTCAAGACACCTAGCCATCTTACAGCAGTGAAATTTCGAAGAGATACTGAGTTAGCAGCTCGTCAATTGGCTACCAGCTACAGGAACCTTTACGAAAATAGCCGGACAATCCAGCTTCCAGTACCCCACGCTCCTCAACCCACTCAAGTTCCCCAACTATCACGGCCACCTAACGAAGACTATGCTGATTCGATGGGCGTGTTTTTGGATGATTTTGTAATGACAGAAGAGGAGATGGGTGTGTTGTACCCCGCACTTCCCAGCTCCGAAGAAGCTGCTGCCGCCGACCAGAATAAAGTTGATGAAGAACTGGAGCTTCTTCGTCAGCGCATCTGGGATACGCTGGAGGATGAGTTGGACATAGAAACTGATGCTGATCATATACGAGAACTCACTGAAGAGTTGCGTGAGTCCGGTGAGCAGCTTCAGTGTTATCAACTTATACACATGCACTAATGCTTTACTTAGGCGTGTTTCCGCGTACCGATGAGAACCTTCATCGTCAAATCCACGGAGTCAACGCAAGTAGTGATTATTTCCCCTATCCCAATAAAACTGTAAGCCTGTATCACCATGGGTAAACTTCCGCTCATCATCTTTTCAGATGTGTTATCTTGATCTCATCGACAACCTACCCCGGCTGCGCTTTTCGGGGGCGCAATTTAAGGTCATATTATGGGTGATGAAACTATTGGGAGCTCAAGATATACCATCGTACAACGAGTTTCGACGCATGCAAGATTCACTTCGTGACGCCATCCCAGTCCGTAACGAGCAGACTATTTCAGACCTGGGCAATGTTTTCTCAACTGTTGACATTCGAGACCTGACGGCATGTGTAAGCCATTATTCATTCTATGTATATTATCCTTTCTAATGTGGTCTTGAGTTTAGGATTTCTCAAACCCACTTATAGCACCGCACCTTAATCTTTATGTAACCGACGTCGAGAAGGGCCCAATTTCTGAGATGTGGCACATCCTAACAGGCCGCTGGATGGAGCTTCCGCAAGATTTACATCCACCTTCAGTACTCGCAAACAATAGGCGACACTACATTCATGAGCTAGCCGAGCTCGACGATGGAAGATGGATTATCCCGCAAATGTGGATCCTTCAAGGTGGTGTTCTCCACGCAGACAGTTGGCTCGTGAAGCCTATCTTTTCTGCGTGCCGAAAGCAGGTGCTCGTTTCGGTCACGGAAACATGGGTCCGCATACCCATTGACCAACTCCGTTACAGTCATGAAGACCTAGCAGCAACATACTCTTCCATTCGGTTTGATCGTTAGTGTTCTTTTTGCGCTTTTAGTTCTATTTTGGTATGCTGACCTACGAGTCCAGAGGAATCTCAACAATTTGCGGCCAAGATTCCAAATTGTAACCGAGAGATTGATGGTGGTGAAGATCTGTTCACCATTTGGTACGGGCTCTGGTCTGATGATGTCTCTGGTGCGAGATCGAAGCAATACCAGAAGCACATGAATGTTAGTGGCGAAAATACATGTTTACCTGGCCGGCTTCTCCAGCAAGAGTTCTTTGTTCGATTCCTCAGTACCTCACCTCACGCCGGTTCCCTCGAACAATTTAAGGTAATCTTGAATCAGATTAAGTGAGTCTTCCTTTGGCCCTGCGGAGTTCATGTTTCTTATGGTGCTGAATATAGGTCTACACAAACGAATCCAG